ACCACAGTAGCTGTTGGTTGTGCACGAGATGACTGACTAGGAGCTTGTAGGTTGCTAAGCAACTCTACTAATTTGGTAAGTTGTTCGTTGATACCAACAGGGGATGTGGTAGATGTATCTGCACTTCGTTCTGTGCCAGCAATATAGCCACGCCCTCTGCCTTTCTTTGGTTTCCAATCAGCAAGTTTACCATGTATATCCCAACACGTTTCTTTGTATGTCCAGTCTTTTTGCAATGCTTACAAATGAGTTTAGGTCTCGGGCCTTCATTGTTTGAGTTGCGAGAAAGCAGGGCAGAGGATTCTGTATTGGTGACAAGGCCAAAGATAGGCATCATTATTCTGCGGAGCGAATCCTCCCTCTGTACCTCTGCAAAAGCTTCTCAGACTGTTGGTAAGGGAACCCGACTTAAGAGGCATCCTCGAACAGCATCAAGGTCGAAGTTCACACTTGCAAGAAATTCAAAGAGGCGCTCTTTGTCAACTTTCTTTTGGTATAGTGCAGCGTCTTCTAAGCATTTCCAAGTGTCTTCACTATGGAGATCAAGTTCCTGCCATAGAGCCGACATGGTCAAATAATAATCATTCAAGTTTCTTGTACCTTGCTTTAATTGCCATAGTTTCGTTTTGATTTCAAAGACTTGGGAGACATTTTCACCATCGGAGTAGGCCTCCCGTACTACTTCCCATATCTCACGTGCTGTGGGAAGGAACATGAAACTCCGCTTGATGGCTGGTATCATGGCGTTAATAAGCCAGGAAGAAACCATCGTGTTTTCAGTCTTCCATTGTCGCATGGCTTGCTGATTAGACGCAAATGGATAGGAGGTGTCACCGGTGAGGTAGCCCAATTTACCTCGTCCTTCAATTGCGAGCTGAACAGACTGGGCCCACTCATGGTAGTTGTCTCCTATGAGTTTTTCTAGGACGATCAGAACAGCAGCCCCTTCAAAGACCGATGTCATACCTTGGCGGGAATAACTGGAGCCATCGTGCTCCAGAGTTGACTTGGCGGGAAAAAAAATACTGTATGCTTCTATTTTATTTATTGACTACTAAGCTGTACAGAGATTTATAGGAGCTGTGGACGACTATCCTAGGAAAGGAATTAAAGGATAATAAAGTATAATAAAATGATTACAACATTAAAAGAATCAATTAAATAAGGAATGAAATAATAGCAAGTAATATCTGTTTACTTGTATCCCATAATCTCCGGGATTTCCACATATTGCTTTTGCTAGTAAGGTTCTGACCTCTACAAAAAGGCCTCTGTCAACATATGAACGTGAGGTGTTGGCAATTCTTTTTGCAGCCAAACAATGGCGATCTTAGCTATGTAGTCACAAGTTCATTATCAAAATTGACCACCTACCCCTGAAACACCTTCTGGAGCAACGTGACTTAACCCAGGATCAGTTTAAATGGCTCCATAAATTATGGGGATTGAATTATGAAATAACTTACTGTAAGGGCAGTGAGAATACAGCGGCGGATGCACTTTCCCGATGATCTGAAGGGTCTTGTTTAGCTCTGTCCCAACTTGTTTCACCATTGTATGACCGTGTTCGAGACTCTTGGTTAACTGATGATCAACTACAGCAGCTGATCTGAGAACTAGAACAAAATCAGGATTCTCATCCTAGATTTACATGGCAGTACCAATTACTCAAACGTAATGGGAAATTAGTGGTGGAAGCATATCGTAACCTTTGCTATGATCTCATTTCCTACTTTCATAATGACAGCATTGGGAGTCATTCGGGGGTCCATGCCACTTACCAGCGCCTTGGCTCTATTTTTTATTAGAAACGGTTAGAACGCTATGTCCGTACTTTTGTGCGTGAATGCACCATTTGCCAATGCTTTAAACCTAAGTTGATTGCTTCTTCAGGGTTACTTCAACCATTACCAATTCCAGAACATATCTGGACTGATCTTTCTATGGATCTCATCAATGGTCTTCCAAGTTCCTATTCTAAGTCCACCATTTTAGTAGTGGTTGACCGGTTGTCTAAAGCTACCCATTTTATGGCCTTAAAACATCCTTTTACAGCAGTTGAAGTGGCCCAAATTTTTCTGGATAACATGGTGAAATTACATGGGTTTCCTAAGACTATAGTCATTGATAGAGATCCTATATTCTGTGGGAAATTTTGGAAGGAATTGTTCAGATTATATGGGGTCAAGCTTTAATACTCTTCTGCATACCATCCTCAAACAGATGGCCAAACTGAGGTCCTCAATCGCTGCCTTGAATGTTATTTGAGATGTATGACTAGTGATTTTCCTAAACAATGGGTTAAATGGCTGCCTCTAGCTGAACTTTGGTACAACACTACCTATCACTCTTCCATTGGGATGTTAGCAGTCTATAGTGTTGCACCGCCACTGCACTTACCTTACATAGCAGGTGATTCCCCCAATGACTTGGTGGACCGGACTTGTTTAACACGGGAATTAGTCTTGTTGCTTCTCAGACAACATTTGGGGAAAGCCCAACACCGAATGATTCAGCAGGCCAATAAACATCGAACTGAGCGTCATTTCAATGTGGGTGATATGGTTTATCTGAAGCTTCATCCTTTTTGACACAATTTGATCAACAATTCTGCCCTACACAAGCTAGCAGCTTGTCATTTTGGGCCTTATCCTATTCTGAAGAAAATTGGTGCTGTCACTTATGAACTCCAGCTGCCTGCAGGGACACGGATTCACCCTATGTTTCATGTCTCCCTCCTTAAGAAACATGTGGGACCAGCAGCTATCTCTACTCAATCTTTACCCCCAATAGATGACAACGGCCAGTTTATGTTGGAGCCGGAAGAAATTCTTGGCCGTAAGCTCATTAAACACCATAATCTGCCTATTACTCAAGTTTTGGTTTGATGGAAGTTTACTCAGCCAAAAGATGCTACCTGGGAAGATCTTTCTGTCATAAAACAGCAATTTACTCAATTTCAAGCTACTGCACCAGTTCACCGTCCTATCCTTGTGGACAAGGATTCTCTCGTAGGGGGGAGAATTGATATATGCGTCATATTGGTAAGGGGTTTATGGTAATTGTATTGAGGAACGTGGTAAGTTTTACCTTTAGAGTTAGTTATAGAGAGAGAAGAGTAATCATTGACGTGTATCAGCCAGAGTATATACCCCTGTACTGATACTTATTGCTTTCAGTGAATGAATATTCTGGTTTTTGCCTCTCTACACTTAACAGAAATGTTTTAAGATACAAGGCCAAGAAGATCAGGATTTAGAAAAAGTGACAGTTGAAATACCTTACACTAAAAGGAAATTCTGGATAAGCTGAAATTTAGCTTTTCCAAATAAGGGTATAGTTCACAAACAAATTTAACAACATATCTGAAAAAGAACATAAGCCCTAAAAATGAAAGGAAACAATGGTGCTTAGTGGAGTTGAAATATCCATATGTGAAGATAATTGGTCACCAATTTAGGTTATTCCCTTTGGCAAGTTAAAGGAGCATTTAGTTTCCATGATTAATGAAGGCAGTGATTCCATAGGAAGATATTCAAAATGTATTCACCTGGATAGCATTTGCTGTCCTCAGACGGAATAGTGGTGACGAGTACCTTATACGCAACAGGTTTAAAAAATTCTCTAACCTGGCAAGGATGTCGCTCTCCTGAGGCTTGAAAGATGGATCTGCCAATCTTGGTTTCATTCTGATTAAAAAAGACACAAGATTACTAGATGAAGCAACGGCCGGAACATAAACAGTAAATCAATAATAAGATCTTTTGCATAACACAATTTTATCACCAGAATATGGTAATTTATGTCATATCGTGCCTGATGAGTTGACACTCAACTAAGAAATGCATACATTAAACGGTGATGATAAAGTGTTTAAACTCTTACAGCGGCCAGTTCTTTTCATTTTCCTCCCGTGGAGGAAGCCCAACACCCCAATTATTAGAATTATGTGAAAAATCAGGCCTGAAATCATAGGAGGAAAACCAATATTAGATGCAGAAGGAAACACATTAAATTGACAATGACAGAAAAGGAATTATCTGAACAGAATTATCTGTAAGATTGAAAATAAGTTATAGGTTATGGAACTGAGAATTTGTAGAATCAACCTATTGAACCAATCTCCAGAATTGTATGAATCTCGATCAAGCGATTTGGAGCGGAGTATCTCATCACTAGAGTGAAAAAATGGTATCCCCTAGGAAACATAAATGACTGAGTCCCAGAAATAATAAACTGAAAAAGGAAAGCAGCTGATTTCATGATGAAGAAATCGTTAACACAATAACTCAGTGGCCCAATTGACTAAACTGCTTAAATTTCAAAAAACACAGTCAGCCATCATGCTATGAACCCTTTACTGCATAGGCAACACATAATTGTTCTTTTTTTTTAAAAAAAAAAAAAGAACACTAACATAAACATAAACACGGTGACATGGCAAAATTTCAAGTGTCAATGTATAGAGTGTCGTGTAGTGTTCAAAATGAGTCACATGGATACAGCTCTTTCTTAAGACATCTGCGCTTTACAAGTTATTATAGTTCCCTAATATCCAGTGTTTCAAAACCCAACCATCACGATGAATGGGAAAGGCAGCCAAGTCACAGATTGGTTTGTCCGAAGCCATGACTCCACAGACCTAGGATGCTCTGAACTTGCTGATATGTTCTAACCATTGTGAAGATAGAATGCAAGTACTAAATGTGTATAAACTCATATAGATGGCAGTCACGGTAATAAACTAATAATTAAAATTTCAGACCTTAACGTTCCTTTGAATTATTTTCTTTTAGAAGTTCATGTATTTTGGATTCTCTTTAATTCAACAAGTGTTTCATAATGAGTAATCATTAGCCGGGCAAAGAGTATGAAGCAGAACTTGAACGAATAGGCCATATTATGAAGCAGAACTGATGAAATTGCAAGCAGGCCACAACATAACACAACCATTCTAGGTCAATGACAATTTAAAGATCCCATCACACCATCAAGCTCACAATGTCAAACAAGGTTTCGTTGTCATGAGCAGAAACATAGTTAGCCTGCAAAACAAGTAATTGATTTTTGCCCGTTCCAATTGCTTTATCCCCTCTCTCTTAAAATTCATGACAATGACTGTGAACATTTATTACTTAAAATTTTGCTGGTTCTTCCTAATACAGTGCATACTTCGTGAAAAGTACTCAACTGATGATGGCATTTAAAAGTGAAGAAGCTTACAGTTTCTGTGGGGGATGAAGCATATGCAACAGGTATCCCATCATGTAGTAGAACTTCTGAACCTTTTACCTAAGATTCGAATGGTGTTATCCTCTTCTTAATTTCATCATGATGTCAATGGTATTAAAAATTCGACAGCCTAATCTTTGGAAAGAGGAAATTCAATCATCCCGTGAGATTTTTTCCACGCAGATTTTCAACATGCATGCAGCATAAAATATTTTCAACATGAATGCAGTATAGAAACCAGTCAGGGTTGCAGGCAGATATGGGTTCGGTCCCTACATATCACATAGTACAGCTCATATTCATTGGGTAGAGAATGTCTTGTATCTCATGTCCTGATCCTGCCTCTAGCCGGAGGTTGTCTTTACAGTTCTTAAAACTCATAATCTGAGCATCTTTCAATTAGTCTTCATGCAAGACCTAGAGGCAAGACGATCTCTGCCATGACCTTCTTCCAAAAGTGCCACAGGTACAAAATGCAGCTATTACCATCATTAACACCTTTTTTCTATCTGGAAGAGGGAATGAAACAGCCCCTAACTATGGCCATTGGCCAACAGCCCTGATCAATCTAAAATTTCATAGGAATGATCATGGGTCAGTTTTTGTTGTGTTTAGCAACCCACAATCTGGACAATTTGCAGTCAACAGCTTATCTTTTAGCCTCACTAGAAGATGGAACTCCATACATACCCATGATCTCCCATCATACTCCCAATGTTGGGCTTGAGACATGAAAGCATGCATAAAATGTATGCCAAGAAACATATTGTGGCAATTAAATAAAATAAATATTGTATATTATGACTGATCTATAGGCATATACTTGGGCGAATATCTCGGGTAGATTAGGAGAGAATAACATGGAGGAAATATCTCCATAATCATAAACATTTATTGATTATATGCCCTAATATGTATATATGCTGTACATGAATAAACCATCCGACTATTCAAAGTATATTTGCTCTACATGGTATCAGAAACAGGGAGATGTGGCCAAAAGTAGTGCAGAATCCGAACTAAGAGCATTGGCTCAGGGTATTATGGAAGGACTATGGCTTCAAAGGGTGATAGAAGAAGCTCAGGTGAAGATTGATTCACCGGTAAAGCTCTACTGTGATAAAAAGGCATCTCTAAGCATGGCGTTAAATATAACATAGCAAGACCAAACATGTTGAAGTTGATAGACATTTTATCTAAGAAAAAGTGAAAGAAGGCATCGTGTGTTTGTCATATGTTCCAACCAAGCAGCAATTGGCAGACATTCTCACAAAAGGGTTGTCAGAAGAGACCTTTGAGAGGTTCATAAGCAAGTTGGACATGATCAATATCTATGATCCAACTTGGGGGGAAGTGGTAATTATATAAAATAAATATTGTACCTTATGACTGATTTATACGCACATACTTGGGTGAATATCTTGGGTAGATCAGGAGAGAATATCAAGGAGGAAATATCTCCAAAATCACAGCCGTTTACTGATTGTATACCCTAACCTCTTTATATACTGTACAGTACGCACATGACTAAACCATTGGACTATTCAAAGTATATTTGCTCTACACATATTTATGCACGTGGCTATGTTGACATTATATCTATTTGGACTACCAAGCATAGAGATATCATAGTAGTAGGTTGAAACTGATATTCAATGTTTACCAACCAACCATTGCCGATGATATATGAAATAGCACGCAAAAGGTGAAAGTTCAAACTTAGTAAACAATGCAAATGTACCTAGCTCTATACCTCTTTTCCGTCAGAATTGGTTAGTACAAAATCTCGCAAGTTTGCAGCCATTCCAACCTGAAAAGCATGAAAGAATTTGGTGAACTTGTTTGCAAAAGCAATGAATGATATCAACAATAGTCAGTAGATGTTCCCCTTCAAGTGATGAAGACAGTTTGAGATGCTTTATTCTTCCAGCAAATTAGTTGAATAGACCACAGCAGTAAATAGTGCATGTAGATTTGTCTCAATTGTATTGTAATGATAGAAATGAGGAGCTAAAAAAAGGGTATACTCTGTCATTCTCTATGCCAAACAAAAGCCCTGCCAACTTAATGAAATAGAATCATGAAGATCCCCATCAGCTTTGTCTACAGTAACTGTAAATTCCATTATCCCACCACCACATTCCAATACATAACTCCAATCCTTTATGAAAGAAATATTTAACTTCCAAAAAATAGATAATGGAATGAAATAGAGAATGCATGAAGTCCGACAACCAGGATGTGATCCCTTGATGCACCAAGCATTAGGTCTGCATTAGCTTCTGTCCCGTGATCATGGCCATTAAGCTGCAGATAGAAGAATTTTCCCTCAGAAGTCAGATTGCACCTGATTCAACCGACTAAGTAAAATATAAATACCATCATAGGCTTGATATCACTAATTGCAGTGAAGCCTTGCCATAATATGAAATAGCTCCAAAAACGAGAAACATAAAAATTGGAAACAACAAAGATATCTATTGTGTCGCTTCAAGCAGGGAGGAGGATTGTTATTGTCGAGAAAAAGTTTTAGGAAGCATGGCCACAAGAAATGATTAGCAAGAAAAATAATGTTCCTAGCAACCATGTGGATGGACATAGTATTTGAAACTGCAAGAAGCAGAAGCATGCACATTGTTCAGCACGTGAGAATATTACAATGCAATGTATATAATTATATAATTAAAAATGTTGGGCAAAAAGTTATATAATTTAAATAACCATAAAATGTAGGTAAAATATGGGTGAAGACACGTTTGTTAGCCTATCTATTGAAAGCAAAACAGAATGTGCTCAATTATAAGGATTATATACGGTGAATATAAACTGGTACAATTATTTTTTTAATCAATATATGTACTATTCACATAAATGCCATTATTCGGAATACGTTTAAAATAATGTCAAATTAAATTATAACTATATCATTTTATGTTCATTTAAAGTTCAAAAGACATTTCTATATTAGTTCATTGATGTTATATGAAATTAATTTATCATAAGAAAATTATGTCAATATGTATTAAGTAAAACAAGTGAATTGAACAAAAATTTTGTTTTCACATTCTTAAAACTTATTTTCAAATCAATTTCTTCATAATACTATTTTTCTTTATTTTTGTCTTTGGATATGGTTTCAAAACAAATCATTCAAACAAATAAATAGAATCAAACAAGTCCATAATTTCTACCTGAATGAGCTCACCTAATATCTGTTTAATCTCTTCCCGTATCTTCAGGATTCTGTTTCACTGTGTATAAATAAAATTTCAATGGCACCTTGACCAGAAAATTATCGTCTTTTTAATTTCTTATATCAGAAGTCTCTCTTTTGCTCAAGCCCTATATTTTTTTAACCAAACCCGTAATGCACAGCAGCATCCATTGGGAAACTATATGAAATCATTAAAATCTATACTACCTATATCTAAGGTTTTGGATGCAATTTCTAAGATAAATATATATAACTAGTTTTGTATTAATGTGCAGATATCATTTCATGTGGAAGTATTATATTTCTAAGTTTGTTGCTGTTGCTGTATTATATTTCTATATTCATAACTTACAAGAATTCAATGACTACAAGGTACAAGCATTCCACATCTCGTTGCAACATGCAGCTTTCTAGTTATTTTTAAAAATTTAAGAGGTGAAAAGGCCAACCAAGAAAAGAAAAGGGTGGAAAAGAAACAGAGGAATAAAGACATTAGAACAACTAACAGTTATTTATCTACTAAGATTGTTACTCTGAGGTAAAGCATTTAAATCAGTGAAGAAATGATTTTTTTTTTTTTAAAAGACGAGGGAGGAAGGGGAAGGAAGGAATGATACCTGCAATAACAGACCAGTTGCAAATCCTTGTTGGAGTGGATGACCAAACGGAGACCCACCAAGTACAGCACATCAGCATCTCGAATTCGATCATTGAAGCTATATTGCACTCAAAAATAATAACTTTCATGTAAATCAATCACAAAACTAAAAGCATCTAAAAATTTGATCGCTTCTTGGATTTAG